AAGCGCAGGAGATGAAGAGGAGGTAAGTCTTGACTTCAGTCGGTTTCTGTTAGGGAGGAAGGACAGCTTACTAACTTGGTGGCAAAATCATCATCAGAAACAGCTACACTGGCAGAAGTAGCACCATAATGTCTTGCTTTTACACAGACCTCATTTTAGAGAGAACATTTATCTAGTTTTGCAGAAGTTTTATCAGGGTGCAGTTGACAGTGCTGAGGAATTATGTTTCCTGCCCTTTTATATCAAACTTTAAATATGGGTCTACCAGGATTTTTAATAATAAAATTGTAATCATAATTAATGTTTGAATAAAATTTCAGATTTATTCTTCTTTCCCGGTAGTTCATTCTGTAAAGGCAACATTTAGCTTTGGCAAATGTTGATTTTAATATTTGGCCATTTGGCATTATGCCAAAGTGTGTATTTGGTAAATTTCTAAAATAAACATTCATTTCTGCATCCATCTGTCCAGTCCTCCTAGTGAAACAAAAGTTTCACAAAGCCATAATTATTTCTATTATTTACAGTGTACTCTGGTCTTTTCTGTTTTATTTAATATTTTTAAAAGCCACTAAATTAGTTTTACCATCTACTAATATGTCATGATCTAGAGTTTAAAAATGTTGAGCCTCACTCTACTCTGGGGATAGTGACATTGTCTGGGAGGGGTCATTTTTGTATGCAAAATAAGGATGGTTTTCTTCCTCAGAAATGCATTTAAGATCTCAAAGACATGTTAAGACATAAAAAATGAATTAATGCTACTGCCAAGTAATTTTCTATAGTGGTTGTACCAGTTTACACACCTACTGGCAATGTCTGAGAATTCCAGTTGTTCCATATCCTTCTTAACACTTAGCGTTGTCAGTGTTTTGGGGTTTAACTATCATAGTGGGTGTGTAGTAGTTACACAGCCATTTTAAATGAAGTCCATCTAAAATGTCTCATGCCTCCCAACAGTTTTCAGCAGAATGTAAATGAAATAGTCGATCTGTTACAGATGACTAAGTTCTGATGTTTTGAATAGTCATTCTTCTTGCCATTTATGGTATGTCTGTCCATTGTGGTGAGCAGTCTGCTTTTAATGCTGTCCTAGTGGCTCAGTCTAGAAGCTTTTCCTCCACTCTTCCACCAACAGAGAATAAAGTAGATCAGAAATTGTATGTTTGAGTTTGTAAGCCCCAAGTCCTTCTATGTGCTGCTTCAGGGCCTTAGTGCTGCAACAATACATATTCTTTTTTCAGACCTCAGAAACAGCAAATTCTCGTACTCGTTGCCTGTTCGAGACCCCATCCCAGATCCCCTTCCCTCTATCAGCCTCAACTGCTATGGACAAGGATTAGTTTATTGAAGTCGGGGGTGAGGGGAGGTTGGGAGGTGGTAGTAGGGGAAGCGGTCAGCCTGACTCCAGAGGAAAATAGTGTTTGGCTGATGACTCAGCCTTTCACTACAGGGTCTAGGTGGGGTTGCAAACAAAAGAGAAGGGTGTGCCTGGCAAGGTGGGGAGCCAGCTGCTGTTGGTGTCATAGGAATTTGCTTATCTTGCTTATGTTAGGAGGCCAGCCCTGCTGAAGTCCTTAACACCATTCACATGCTAGTTCATGTTTATGAGAGTCACATAAAGCATCAGGCAAAAGATTGGGCCTGTTTCCAGTCTTAATTCAGGGTGAATTCCAGGGTGACTTCAGGTAATTCATGCCATCTTCTCAGTTCCACTTTCTCCCTTCGTTGTATGTAAACAGACTTCTGCGAGAAAATGGTCAAGATGAAGGGTATCTGGAGAAGGCATCTAATTTAGCCTCTCTGCACATACAAGAACACAACTATTTTACGTTGTGAATCTGCCTTCATTAAATATGTTTGGAATTGATCAGCGCCTGCTCTTGATGACTTATTAAGATTGTTTTTTTGTTTGTTTGTGTTTTGGATGTCTGCAAGGACAATACTATAGAAACACAGAGTACCCTGATTTTTTTCCCTTTAGTACTCTGTGTAAACCTGTGCTATAGAATCTTGCACACAGTTGAATTAAATATGATATAAAAATGATCAGTGAATTAAGTATTATTAATTGCTATTCTCTTGAGAGGCTATATCCAGGGTTGAAAGTCATCTGTTTTGCTTCTTTATGCTATTCTTTCATAACCTCTGCCTGCTTCTTTGTATTCTTTCATTTCTACTTGACTCAGCTTTGAGAATGGAATAAATTAAGGCCTAGAACTTTTATAATGTATGAGTTAAAAGGGACCCACAAGGGGCTAATGTCTCAACATTAACTGAGAAAAAGGATCGTGTATGTGAAAGTGTTTTCTACAGCATTACATAGAGAGAGCGTTCCCTCGTATAATGGCCTAGAGGGTTGCCTGATGTCCTCTGTTTAGTATAAATCAAGATGCAAATAAATCTCCAACTTCCTCTTAAGTTGTGAACATTTTAAGTAAGACAATCGCAAAAGATACAGTTACAGAAATCAGCGGCTTAGTCACACTCCAAGTTTTCTTTTTCCAGGTTTTAAAATTTATACTGAATTTTCTCTAAGCTCGTTAAGTTGACATTGGATCTTGTTTCCAAAATCATACATAGCCTGTCTCATCCCTGCCCTTCCCTCAAAGGAGCAAGAACATTCTGTCATTATTGAGTTTGGTCACGAGTGGATGCTTCCTTGTGTAACTTCTCTTTGGAAAGTTTGAAGTAATCAAGATAGTTAATCTCTCCTCTCAGAGAGACAGGTCGGCAGAAAATATTTCTCCTGGCAGCTCCTCCTTCCATTTAATGTTTCCTTTCTTAGGCCTAAGGGTGTGGGGTAAAAAACAAACTCCAAACAAAAAAGAGTTTTCACTTTTGCTTCTAGAAGTGGCACTAGAATTCAGATCGCAAAAATAATGTTTTCTTGCAGCCACACTAAGTAACAGGGGATTTGAACGGCTCTTCTATATTAGGGCATTTAGAAGAAAGAATGATTCCCACCCCACTATACCCGCAGTGAAAGTATCTTTATTGTTTTCATTGATAATAAAAGTGATACACGCTCAGTGTAATAAATTTAAACAATGCGTGTAGAGTAGAATGTGAAGATTCCCATAATTGGTGTTTTCACTCAAGATGTTTGTGTGCTGTTAACATAAATAGATGGTACTTGGCATACTGTTCTATAACGTGTTTTTTTTTTTTTCCACTGAATATTTTGCAGGCTTTTTGCTACATCAGTGTCTGTGGGTCTGTCTGCAGCATTCTTTTTAAATGACTTTATCATAAGGTTGAATCAGAGTTGATTTACATAGTCCCTTCTTAATGGACATCATGTCATTTCTCATTTTCTGATGTTCTAAATTTGTGTCATTCAGTATGCTAGCCACCAGCCACTTGTGGCAATTTAACCTTGTTCAAATTAAATAATGTGTAAAAATCAGTTCCTCAGTAGCCATATTTCAAGTGCTCAGTAGCTATATGTGAGTAGCACAGATGTAGAGCTTTTCCATCATTGCATAAAGTTGTATTGGACAGTGCTGTTCTAAACTACTGGTTTTCAGACTTTTTTTTGAGTACATGTTTCCATTCCTTAATTCATCCTTTCTTCATTCATTCAATAAATAATTATTAAGTGCTTCCTATGTGTCAGGCACTGTGCTAGGTACTTGGATATATCATTCATAAAACAAAACACCTACCCTCATAATGCTTAACATTCTATCAGCAAAAGGTTTTGACTGCTCCCAGTAAATGTATTTATAAGTTGTATTTGTATTCTATCATGCTGTTATATTTTATTTACTTATTTATTAAATATTTATTTATTTATTTATGGTTGCATCAGGTCTTAGTTGCGGCACGCAACTAAGATTTTTTTCGTTGCAGCACTCAGGCTCTTCGTTGCGGTGCGTGGGCTTCTCTCTAGTTGTGGCGCACGGGCCCCAGAGCTCATGGGCTCAGTAGTTGTGGCATGCGGGCATAGTTGCCCTGCGATATGTGGGATCTTAGTTCCCCGACCAGAGATAGAACCTGCATCCCCTGAATTAGAAGGTGGATTCTTAACCACTGGACAACCAGGGAAGTCCCAATCATGCTGTTATATTTTAAAACATGTTAAAATAGGAATGAAAATGAATAAGATAAAAATGTACATAATTTCTGAAGTAGTCTTCCTGTGTCCCACCTTGGGGACCACTGTTCTGAATAATGCCCTTGGACTAGGTGGTCATCTCTAAATGTTCTTCCAGTACTGAAACTGAACTGTTATCACATTTTAAGTAGGTAGTTCTTCTATTTTGATATGTGTAGGCTTTTTCCGACACTGTTTGAATTTGTTCTTATACTTATCTATTTATTTAGCAAGCATTTATTAAGTTCGTACTGTATGTCAGGTAGATGCCAGGAGATTGAACAAGTCAGGGTTCCTGCCCTCAAATGAGACAGGCCAGCAAATCAGTTATTCTGATACCAGGTGTTATGGAAATGCAGCAAAGGGACATAGAAAGAGAGAGATGGTTTGGCAGAATGGACAGCTCTCATGAACATGACTCATTTTTGGATAGTTATTGAACTCTGTTGTGGGACTTAATGGAATCACAGATTTCTCCAACAGGTACAATTTTTCTCCCTGATATTTTCTTTTCTCTTGGAAAATATAAAATCCTAAGCCATTAATTTAAGAATATTCAACTACTGTTGATTGTCCCATTAAGTATCTCTTTATGTTAAACTCTCACCTTTCTGTTTTTAAACTTAGATCTTAGGGTTGGAGAGGTTCTACCTAGGACAGAAGCTAAGTACAAATAATTAGGTAGCTCCTGTTGTTTGAGAGGGGGAAGGTATGTGTTTATTCATACTTTCATTTAACAAATATTTTAAAAATACCTCCTATGCAGAAAAAACACTTAATTCCAAAATAAATTTCTCATAGGGGCTTTTAGTTAAGGAGTTCTGAAGAATATAAAGGAAAATACTGTTTACAGCAAATTTAGAAATGAAAGAATTGATCATGTGTTTTTTCTTTCTTTCAGGGCAAGTTAAAGTGTTCAGAGCTCTTTATACGTTTGAACCCAGAACTGTAAGTATGCAGTTTTTCACTTTCAAATTGACATAAAAACCAAAAGGGATTTCATTTAGATACTTCCTCTGTCCTAAATGGCCATCAGCTGCTTCAGCCCTTCATTTGACTAAGGACAGAGTCCTCTGTGGTCCAGCCCCCTTTCTAGTCCTGCCATCCTCCACTCCTTCCCCTTCGTGGACCATTCCAGTCTGGATTTGGTGCACAGTACAGCTCATCTCTGAACTCTTTGTAGACTCATGGTTCTGCACCTCTCTAAGCTTTGATCACACACTTCCTCTTCCATAAAGACTTTCTGATCACCCCCTGGAGGAGTGGGATGTCTCTCCCGCCTCTGAATTTCTGCACGTGGCATTGCAGTCTTGCTCACCAGCACAGTGTCTAGGGTGCAGAACACAGGGGTTTAGAACTTAGAGTAGCTTTTAGGACCCGCTCTGCCTCTTTTAGCAGCTGTGTGACCTGGTAAATTCAGAAATTGCCTAACCTCTGTGCCTCAGTGTACTCATCTGTAAAGTGAAAATAATAATAATCTCATAGCGTTTCAGTGAGAATTAAGTGAGATTGTGTAAAGCTGCTGTTACTGTTAAGGAGTCATTGTTACTATTAGAAGGAGTAGTGGTTGCTATATTCATAGACTCTTAACACACACTTTTGATTGGTTGATGTATTGATTACTTTAATTCACCTCCAGTTCTTTTCCAGGATGGAGTCTCTCTACTGTTATTTATTTATTTTTGGCTGCATCAGGTCTTCATTGCTGCGTGAGGGCTTTCTCTAGTTGCGGCGAGCAGGGGCTACTCTTCGTGGCGGTGCGCGGGCTTTTCATCACGATGGCTTCTCTTGTTTGGGAGCACGGGCTCTAGGCACGCAGGCTTCAGTAGTTGTGGCACATGGGCTCAGTAGTTGTGGCTCGTGGGCTCTAGAGCACAGGCCCAGTAGTTGTGGCACACGGGCTTAGTTGCTCCGTGGCATGTGGGATCTTCCTGGACCAGGGATCAAACCCATGTCCCCTGCATTGGCAGGCAGATTCTTAACCACTGCACCACCAGGGAGGTCCCTCTACAGCTTTTTAAAAGTCTTGGTTATTATTGAATGCACAGGAGAAAATAGACATTTAATTCACTAGGTGTTTTGAATATTCCACATTTAAAATGCTATTTTTAATATCCATGGTCCCAAGGATCCTAGGCTGTAGAGCAGTGCCGCTAATTCATCCTGTGTGTGCTGGATGGTCAGTAATGGCTACCTCATGCCCTGCTGCTCCCACACTCTGCTCCTCTCCATCTTCCCTCAATACAGATGTTGAAGGGGAGGTGTCTGGCTGATCAGGTCCCGGGGGTCTTCCTGACTGCTTAAGTGCCCATGCTGTACCAGTTGTTCAGTATTTTGAATGTCATCCTAGAACTAGGTTCATCTTAACATTCTTTTCTGAATGAGAATTTCTTTTGGACAAGCTCGGTTTGGTCTTTCTCCCCTGGGCCCAGTGGCCATCTTCTCTAGTGGGATGGGTGTACCCCAGTATATCCTAAACTCACCTAAAAGTCATTGAGACAAAGAAGTTGGAAGGGCTGAGCTGGACTCTGTGAGACCATCGCTGACATGTACAGCACCCCAGAAATACCTGGGTCCAGTTTTTAGCTACTGTACTACTCTCAGGAGATAGGGACAGCAATACCCAACTCATCTCGGTGATCCACTGGGAAGCTTGTCACTCTTGGTTCTTCCTGTCAATGCATTTCTCTCCTCTGTCGTGCATGAAGGCAAGGTAGTCCTGACATCACCCAGCCCTGTTTGGTTCTTATTTCTTACCCAACCCCTAATCCAATAAAGTGTCATATAGAGGCCTGGTAAGACTGGATAGACCAGTGTTGCACTGATGGAGAGAGAACAGCATTTCTCATACTTGGTTCAGTGGGTTGTGTAGGCTTCCTGGTGGAGGGGACTAGTGCCTGTGTTCTGGTGGATGAGGCTGGATCTTGTCTTTCTGGTGGGCAGTACTGCATCTGGTGGTGTGTTTTAGGGTGTCTGTGACTTTATTATGATTTTAGGCAGCCTCTCTGCTAATGGGTGGGGTTGTGTTCCTGTCTTGCTCGTTGTTTGGCTTAGGGTGTCCAGCACTCTAGCTTGCTGGTCGTTGAGTGGGGCTGGGTCTTAGCATTGAGATGGAGATGTCTAGGAGAGCTTTCGGTGTTTGATATTATGTGGAGCTGAGAGGTGTCTGGTGGACCAGTGTCCTGAACTTGGCTCTCCCACCTCAGAGGCAGAGTCCTGACACCCAGCTGGAGCACCACCACCCTGTCAGCCACACGCTCAGAAGAAAAGGGAGAAAAAAAGATAGAAAGAAAAAAATAAATAAAATAAAGTTATTAAAATAAAAAAATAATTATTAAAAATAAAAAAATCAAAAATTAAAGAAAGAAAGAAAGAAGAGAGCAACCAAACCAAAAAACAAATCGTCCAATGATAACAAGTGCTAAAAAGTATACTCAAACAAACAAAAAACGGACAGACAGAACCCTAGGACAAATGGTAAAGCAAAGCTATACAGACAAAATCACACAAAGAAGAATACATATACACACTCACAAAAAAGGAAAAAGGAAAAAAAAAATCTATATATACTAAAAAAAAAAAGGAGGAAGAGAGCAACCAAATCAATAAACAAATCTACCAATGATAATAAACTCTAAATACTAAACTAAGATAAACATAAAACCAGAAACAAATTAGATGCAGAAAGGAAACCCCAAGTCTACCGTTGCTCCCAAAGTCCACCGCCTCAATTTTGGGATGATTCGTTGTCTGTTCAGGTATTCCAGTGATGCAGGGTATATCAAGTTAATGTGGAGATTTAATCCACTGCTCCTGAGACTGATGGGAGAAATTTCCCTTTCTCTTCTTTGTTTGCACAGCTCCTGGGGTCCAGCTTTGGATTTGGCCCTGCCTCTGCGTGTAGGTCACCTGAGGGCGTCTGTTCTTGGCCCAGACAGGACGAGGTTAAAGGAGCAGCTGATTAGGGGGCTCTGGCTCACTCAGGCCGGGGGGTGGGAGGAGTACAGATGTGGGGCGAGCCTGCCGCGGCAGAGGCCAGTGTGACGTTGCAACAGCCTGAGGCGCACCATGTGTTCTCCCAGGGAAGTTGTCCCTGGATCACAGGACCCTGGCGGTGGTGGGCTGCACAGGCTCCCGGGAGGGGAGGTGTGGGTAGTGACCTGTGCTCGCACACAGGCTTCTTGGTGGCGGCAGCAGCAGCCTTAGCATCTCATACCCGTCTCTGGGGTCCGCTCTGATGCGCATAGCCGTGGCTCACACCCGTCTCTGGAGCTTGTTTAGGCGGTGCTCTGAATTCCCTCTCCTTGCGCACCCTGAAACAGTCATCTCTTGCCTCTTCAGCAGCTCCAGACGTTTTCCCGGACTCCCTCCCGGCTAGCTGTGGTGCATTAGCTCCCTTCAGGCTGTGTTCACGCAGCCAATCCCAGTCCTCTCCCTGGGGTCTGACCTCCGAAGCCTGAGCCTCAGCTCCCAGCCCCAACCTGCCCCGGCGGGGGAGGAGACAAGCCTCTCAGGCTGGTGAGTGCCAGTCGGCACCGATCCTCTGTGCGGGAATCTCTCCGCTTTGCCCTCTGTACCCCTGCTGCTGCGCTCTCCTCCATGGCTCCAAAGCTTCCCCCCACCCCACGCCCCCATCTCCACCAGTGAAGGGGCTTCCTAGTGTGTGGAAACCTTTCCTCCTTCACAGCTCCCTCGCACTCGTGCAGGTCCCGTCCCTATTCTTTTGTCTCTGTTTTTTCTTTTGCCCTACCCAGGTATGTGGGAAGTTTCTTGCCTTTTGGGAAGTCTGAGGTCTTCTGCCAGCATTCAGTAGGTGATCTATAGGAGCTGTTCCACATGTAGATGTATTTTTGATGTAACTGTGGGGAGGAAGGTGGTCTCCACGTCTCACTCCTCCGCCATCTTGAAGGTCTTCGGGTGTGGTGTCTTAATCACTGTGCCACCAGGGAAGTCCCTAGGGGGCCAGGTTTTAGCTGCAGCCCATTGCTTATTGACCCCTGGTATGAGGGGTGGAGGACAACTTCATGCATGGCCCCCTAAGGCTCACCAAAGCAGTCCTGTGGATATTCCAAGGACCACTGTCATCTCTTTAAGTGAAAAGATGAAGCTCAGCTGCAGGGAACCTTAGCATAGTGGTTCTAGAAGGTTGCCTCTGACTGATGCTGCTCTTTATTCCTGACTCCTCTGGTGGGGTGACCAGGAACCTAAGCTGTGCCACCTGGGGTGTGTGGTGGCTGAGCTGGAGGCTCTCAGCTACCCTCCCAGTTCCTATCCTGTGTCCCCTGTGGGGAGATAGTAGGAAAGAGCGTGGTGGAGAGAGGGCTGTTGTTCCTTGGCCTGTCCTCAGTTTTTTCAGAACACAGTTGGCCCTCCATGTCTGAGGGTTCCACATTCGCAGATCCAACCAACAGTGGTTTGAAAGTGTTTAGGGGAAAAAATTTAAGGAAGTTCCAAGAAGCCAAACTTGAATTTGCTGCACCAGCAACTATTTACATAGTATTTTCATTGTATTTACAACTATTTCCATAGCATTTACATTGTATTAGGGATTACCTGTAATCTAGAAATGATTCAAAGTATGTGGGAGGACATGCATAGGTTATATGCAAATACTTTGCCATTTTATATAAAGAACTTGGGTACCTGCAGATTCTGGTATTCCTGGGTTGGGGGGTGTTGTCCAATCACCACCACCCCCCCTACTAAGGAACAGCTGTATTCAAAATTGAGTGCAATTTAGTAAGGTTTGGTTCCACTTTCATTTACTAGATTACATGAGACAAGAATGTGATTGTGACAGAAATAAAATAACATATCAAGTTGGACATCTGAGTTTCACCAGGAGCTGCATTGTTGAATATTTATCTCCATCCACATTGCCACAGTATATCAAGGGAACAATTACATATAATGAGTATTGTAAAATAAATTTTTACATTGTAATTTTTCTGCTTTTGAATTATGTTTTACCTTATTATTACCTTTAATATGTCAGTGTAAGGCTGCCAACTATCCTTTTTTGGGAAAGGAAAGGTTGCCCTTTTACAAGCAAGATGGTAGCTTGCTTACATTTTTTGGTGCTAAATGTCCTTTCTCCTATGAAATTATGCTGGCTAGGTAGTAGTAGATTGATGTCCTCACTTGGCAAAATAAGAAAAAAATTCATGAAAGTTTGTTATTCCTTGCTTCCACGTCACCTATTTTTGGATAATTCATCAGAGCATAACTTCTCAAGCCTGGAGAAATACAGCCTTAGGTATCACACAGTCTACCCCTTCATTTTGCAGAAGTTGAAACTGGCCCAGACAATGGAGTGACTTGTTCAAGATCACACAGACAGTAAATGGAAAACTAGAGAGAGTTCCCTGGTGGTCCAGTGGTTAGGACCTAGCGCTTTCACTGCTGGGGCCAGGGTTCGATCTCTGGCCAGCAAACTAAGATCCTACAAGCTGTGAGGTGTGGCCAAAAAACAAAACTAGAAACAAAACTAAACCAAGTGAGTTAACTTCTTTCCATCTTTCTAAGCTGCTAAAAAGCACTTTATTACCAAGAGCAAAGGAAGGATGTTGCACAGGTGCTGGCTTAATTGTGAGGCTCTCATGTATAATAGATGTTATTTTTATTGATGTATTATTGATGGGGTATTTTCTGTATCCACTGAATGGCAAGGACTACTAGTCTCCTGTGCTTCTTGCCACACCTATGCGTACACATGAGGAAGCTGTGCTGATTACATAGCATGTAAATAACAAGGAAGTGTGGCTGAAGCACTTGAAATAGGCTTGAGGTGGTTATTTGGGTGGAAAATCTAAATTCAGAAACTAACAGTAAGGGAGTCAAGAATCTTCTTATGAAATCTCCTGGGCTCGGGAGAGAACTCCCACAGTCAAATGCCAGTTTTTACCAAAATAGGAACCCTCACTTCTATATTAGTTAGCAGTTTTAGCCTTTCCAAGACAGTGTTTGGGTAAATATTGGGCACAGTCCATTAGCAATGAACAGGTGACACTGTGGTGGGAGGTTAGGGAATTGAGAGAAGCAGAAGCAAGACCTATGGCTGGGCTGAGTGGCTGGGGTGTGGGATGGGTATAGCAATCCCAGAAGCCATGTATTTCAAAACCAGTGTTGGATGCACAGGGCAGCTTCAGGTGAACTCCAAGTTCAGCCCTGGCACTGTCCATCGCCACACCATGTTCTATTATTTCACTGCCTGTTGTCCCGTTTAAGAACTATTTTAAAATCACATTTAAAAAGCTTGCACTCGAGAGGTGCCAGGCTCCAAAAATACGTAGAAGTAGACTTCAATGAATGAAACACAATCTCCATCCCCTACAAACTGTAAATCACTAGATGTCTCCGGAGAGACAACCATTTGGACTTTCTAACCTCATCAATCCAGGGCAGCCAATTACTAGGAGTACATACCACTGCCACTCTTGTGGGATATTTATGTACAGTTGACCCGTGAACAACTCAGGGGTTGGATATATCAACCTCCTCACAATCAAAAATCCACGTATAACTTTACTCAGCCCTCTGTATCCACCATTCTGCATTCTCAGATCAAAACAACCTTGGATTGTGTAGTACTCCAGTATGAATTTAGTGAAAGAAATCCGAGTATAAATAAACACACGCAGTTAAAACTTGTGTTGTTTAAGGGTCAACTGTACTTTATTCTCCCAGTAAGTGCAAGGCTTTCCTCAACAGCAGAGTGAATTTGCTTAGGAGGAGGAGAACAGATGAAGATGGCAAACAGCAAATCCAAAATGAGTACTTTTAATTTTTTTATACTTTTTTTAACCCTAAGTAAAATATGTTGTTGAGTCCTTTTTTCGTAAGTGGTATGTGTTTACTATATTTAAATTATTTCACTACTAAATACGGTACATTTTGGATTCTAAAAGAGTGAAATGTTTCAGGACTTCTCACTGATTTATTTAATTCAATATTTTGATTATCTTCTATGTGACAGGGTAGTCTTTTTCTACTATTTTTTAAACTTTGCTCCTTTTTGGTAAATGCCAAGGCTGGCATGTTTGAATACACAACCCTTGCCCAGTTCTCTTGGAATCACTCTGTCACTAACCCCTAGTAGAAACTTCAATGCTTCATTTTACATAGACTCTCACGTAAAGTTTTTCTTTTCAATTTTTCTTCCCCCAAACATACAAGCGATTTATCATATTGCCTGTGCTATTTTGAATATACACACGGTGCATTTATTGTCTGCTCCAGCCCTTACATCTCAGTGGAAATTCAGTTGGCTAGGTCTGGGGTCGGCAAACTTGCTCTGCAAAGTGCTAGATGGTAAATGTTTTTGGCTTTGCGGGCAGCTGCTCAACTCTGCTGTTAGGAAGTGAAAGCGGCCGCAGACAATACATAAGCAAATGACAGTGGCTCTGTTCTAATAAAACTTTATGGACACTGAAATTTGAATTTCATATAATTTTCACGTGCCACAAAATCTGCTTCTTTTGATTTCTTTTAAGCCATTAAAATAAACTTGAAAACCATTCTTAGGCTGTACAATAACAGGCAGCAGGAGGGCCGCAGTTAGTCAACCTCAACGCTAGAGGAGTCAAGCTGTCTCCTCTGGCAGGGATCAACACCTGACCCTGACCTCAGTGACTTCTCCCAACCACCTGTCCGGTCTCTAGAAGGCAGACTCCCGTTTTCAGGATTATAAGGGGGCGTGAGGGCACTACACCATCACGAGTGCACGTCCTCCTTGGCAGGCCACTTATCAGCCCATTTAGGGTGGTAGGAGTCCCAAAAGGGCTTGCAAGACACAACGGGGCTCGGGCTCCAGCGCAGTAACACTCTGGAAACACCTCCAGGCCCCACGGAGTCTGCGCGGCGGGGCGTCAGGCAGGTACTCACCGGGCGCCAGTTCGAGTGGTCCCAAGCAAAGCGGCACAGGCGACTGCCAAGCGCGCCTGTCACTAACCCGCCGCAACCCCCGAAGCTCGTTAACCGAGAGGCCCACGGCCCCTTCTCCCGTGCCCCTCCCGGGTGAGAGGCGGCGCAGGGCAGAGGCGGCCAACTTAGGGCTCTGCCCAACCCTGAGCGGACGCAGCGCCCGGCTCCGGCCGGCGTTGGATGGGGCGGGACTCCGGCGAGCGTGGTTGCGCGCGCGCGCTCCTGCCCAGTCCAGCCCTTTCCCGTCCGGGGCGCGCGCGGCCAGGCCGGCCCCGGCGCGAGCCTGCGGCGCCCCCGTTCGGCTCCCGCTGGTTCGGCCGCCGCGCGCGCCGCCGTGCGCGCCGCCCGCGCTCCTGCAGCGGCGAAGCTGGCAGCCGGGGAGCCAATTAGCGCTCCGCGAGGCAGCGGCTACTTCCTCGTCTGCCCGGCTGCGCGCTCTGGACAGCTCTGTCGGCCGCGGGGCGGGGCGGGGCACTTCGCCGAGCTGCTCTGCCTGCCTCTGCTCGTCCGGCTTCCCGGGGTGGACGCAGGTCCTTGAAGGCGCACCACTGCAAACCAGACATAAAGAAACTCTGAGGCGCCCGGAGTGCCGGCTGGAGGGGCATTCGGTTGGCTTTTCGTGCGTGGTCTTTAGAATCAGCCGCTCCAGGAAGAGAGATGTCCAAGCCGCCACCCAAACCGGTCAAACCAGGTAAGGAAGGTGCTCGCTGGGTCCCCTGGCCGCCGCCGTGCCCTGCGCTCCCTCTGCCACTTGGCAGGGCAGATCAGGCACGTACCCGGCCCCGAGCCTCGCTTTCGATGCCACCCACCAGGGTGGGAGTTGTTAGCGTTGCTGTGTTCGCTGCAGGGGACGGATCGTTTTGGATAGCAAGAAGATTTTCGAGGAATTTTTAAAATTTGATTTGTAAAGAGGAGTCACCCTCGGCTTTGCAGCATTGTCATTAGCTGCAACTTTCCAGTCGACGTGATGGCTACGTCCCATTGAGATTTCCTGGAAGACAGGGCCATTGATCTCCCTTAGGAAAAAAAAATTAAATAAATGTCTTGAAATGGTTTTTTAGCCACTTCCTCTTTTTTTTTTTTTTTTTTTTTCCAGTGTGTGTCGCTGTCAAGTTTGAGCTCTTGACCGGCCAAAGCGAACGGGAAGTGCGCTGCTGGTAGGGTGGGGTGGGTGAATGAGTGTCCGCAAATTGACCTCGAGATCTTGGGAAAAGCTTTTAGAAAGCTGTACTCGAGCTCCTGACTAGAAGAATCTAGGCTGCGGCAGAGTAATCTCAGCTATTACTCTTCGGAAGTGTCACTTTATCATGCAGTACAAGTCGTTTGCCTGCGCTCCCTCAGTGAATTAGGCGAGTTAAACTGGAGAGGGTGAGCTTACTAAGTTCCTCAAGCAGCTTTCTTGGCCGATAGTCCTTGTTCATTTTTTATTCGATCCTTGGAATATTTTCTGGGACATGGAGAAAGGAGAATTTAAAAGCGACTGAGGTATTGCAGTTCAACACTGTAATAAACTCTTTCGTGCATTCATTGAGTAGGTAGTTACTGAAAACGTGGGAAATGGAAGAGAAGTGGATCTGAACTTTTTTCTTCCAATCTCATGCAACTTCATTCAGTATAGCACAGGCTGAAATTTATCCATTTACATCAAATTTCGAAGTAACCTTGATTAGGAAGGAGTAATTTCAGTGATTAATTTTTTTCTTGATTTTTCTAAACTTTAGTCAAGCACTTCAACTTTCATGGTTATCCAGTTTTCTTCCTTTACCATCATACAGTGGTAGTTTCAAATCATTTTATTTGAAAATTATGTACATACTCACATATATGACATAGTCATTCACTGAGGACTTAAATTTTGCTGGGCTGGGTGTGACTTTGTTGGCACTTTGGCTCCGCTGTAAGCAATGGTGGAGAAAGGCTGGAAGTGGGCTCTGTGCTTCTTTAGATATGGAGTCTGATGAGGAATTTGCATTTTAAGTCTGTTTGTAGGACGCAGCAGCCTTCTAAACTCAGATGTAAATCAGGACCTCAAGTAACCAACAAAGAAGAGTTGTTCTTTGATAGCTAAACAGAGTACTTTATTTCAAAGAAGGTCCTGAAAAGCCGTTCATGAGGTTTTTCATCTCTAGACGTTAAGTGATGTCTGTGCTGTAGCAGGAGGGACATCAACGTGATGTGTATGTGTGTGTTTGCCGAGGTGTCGCTTAGGGATCACACGGTCATGGCCGTGAAACCCCGGAATACTAACCAATAAGGCCACTGAGGAACTCCCTCACAAAGACTTTTTAAAAAGAGACTTTATTCTGAGTCTTGAGGTAAAGATGGGCCAAAAGATGTTGAATGAGATTTGGACTAGAATCCTCTCATTTTAAGCACGTTTGATAACCTTCCTCTGTAGTTGGAAGCCTGATGTCTGACCTTGACCAGTTCTTTTAAATGGCTTATTGATTTTGGTGGTGGAAGTAAAGTGGCATAAATATTTCGCTTGTCTTGGGAAAATAAATTAGTGGGACTTTGAAGAAGCATACGTCAGTGTTTTGGGTTCTTTCATATTTACAGTAAAAACATCATAAAACTTCAAAGATGTCACACATATGTTGCTTATATAACACCTTTGAGAGGGAAAAGGTTTTCACCTAAAATGATCTGAAGTTTTGTATAATTTTTTCTTCTCTGAATTAATGAATTAGTTAAAGGTGAGATACGGAGTTGGCTCGAGGTGTGCACATGAATAATTCTCCTTCATAAACTTGATGCTCTGTTAATACTTGATGGCAGAATGAAGTGTGAGAAACATCTTGAAAACTCCAGAATGATGATGATGATTTTAATAGTAATAGTTAACATTTACTTGGCCCTGAGTGTCAGGCACTGTGCCAAGTACTTTGTATGCTCTGTCTCATTTAATTGTTCTAATTTCCCTATGAGGTGGATCCTAATATCCCCATTTTATGGATGAAATAGGACTTAGTGAGGTTAAATAAACTTTGTAAGGTCTCAAAGCTAGGAAGTGGTTGGTTTGGCCTGGGAATGGCACAAAAGCCTTAACTGGAGTCTATGCATTTTGGGCAGAGAAACCTGTGAGGGTTCTATTAGGTTGGACCGGGTTTACTTGGGCAGCCACCTTTATTAACTTATGCAGTTGTATTATTTGCATTTGCTTTGTATAGCTCCCCTCTTTAATTGGATCTGTATTAGACTATTTGACACTTAAAATTGTTTTTTAATTTTATATTGGAGCATAGTTGATTAACAATATTTGACACTTTCTGAGAGTAGAATAGTCTCTTGTTTCTTTGTAACTGCACAGCAACTAAACTTTGTATGTGTGGCAGTTACATAAAAAGTCTTGATACATAATAAAGTCTTTGTCTAGAAGAAAGCAGGGGAGACTGTGATTGGGCATATCTTGTAGCTTCACATTAAATAGCAAAGGCTGGAGGCAGTGTCCATCAACACGACTTCTGGAAGTAGTGGGGTCCCCTCCCTCTTGTGTTTTCAGCGTTCCCATGGTTTGACTTCAATGGGACTAAGTGATGAGCTTTTCTGACATGCCTCTGTAAGGGAGAAAAAAACTTTTCCTCTACCCACTTAGGTTTGATATCTAGTTACTGTGAATTAACTGAATTAAAGTAACAAAAAACCAGATTAACAGGAGGAAAAGGCATACAAGTTGAATTGATGTTTTTAATTTTATGTGTATAAGGGCTATACAGAAAAGAAGGGAAAATCCAAAGAAGTGGTTAGAATTGGACATTTATATACCACTTTAACAAAGGGCAACACATTGTAGAGAAGTGACTAAAAGGAAAGAGGCGTTGAACTTCTGGGGGAGTAAATTGTGGGAAGGTAGAGATATGGGGAAACTAATGGAAAATAAGAGTTATTTTAGTAAGGTTTGCTTATGCAGACTCATCTCTGTGCCATCTCTATCCCTGGTGATAAGGGTTCTTCTCCTCTGTCTTTAATGGGGGACCTACAGGAGGAGGATACCTTCATGGGGAATTTATGCCTTGCTTTCAGGCAGATGGGGGAGGGCTCAGAGTCCTTCCTGTGTCTGCCTTTTCTCAATTGCCTTCAACTCAAAATAATCCTTATGCCAAAGTGGCATACTTTAGGTTGACATTTTCTGATCCTCTTCACCTCATACTTCACGTCCAATGAAGACCATCGCCAAATTTGTCCTCACTTGCTTAATGGCCAGGGTAAGCAAAATACATGGGGGTAAGGAGAGGAAGAGAGAGAGGGGGCAGACACACCCTTTTAGTGGGCTGATGTGAACTATTCAGTCAAAATTCTCTATTGACTTGTCATTCATATTTCAATAAAGCTGGGGAAAAAAGATTCTCTATCAGATAAATTAAGGGACTTTGGGAAAAGAGTTTCAGACACCAGTATGGAAAGAGATTTCTGATTCTTACTGCATGGTACTCTATTGTACTTATTTAACCAGACCCGTATTAAAATGTGCTTTGATTGTTTCCACTCTTTTGTTATAACAAATAGTGTTACAACAACCTTGTTGCTTACCTGTGTGAGTATATCCACAGGACAAAGTCCTGGCAGTGGGATTGTTGTGTCAGAGGGTATGTGCATTGCCATATTCACAGACATTTCCAAAATGCTCTCCAAAGAGGTTGTACTAATATACTTTCCTACCAAAAATGTGTGAGCACGCCTTACACAGAAAAATTACAACGCATGTGATAGGAGATATTATCAAAGTGTGGTCAGAGGTCTAGGAAGTACAAGGCAAGGAGCTTGAGGAAGCCGAAAAGGTGTCACAGAAGAGGGGAAAATTAAGCAGGGTCTTGAATGCTGAGTAAGAATTTGGTAGGCAGAAAAGAGGGAAAAGTCGTTTGACGTGGACAGAAATGAAATAACTTGGCATGACGTCCTGCCCACGTTTGATTGACTGCGTAGGAGCTGAGCTTCGCTCACAGAAGCCAGGGGGATTTGGTGTGGAACTGTGAACCAGAGAAATTTGTTCTGAATTAAAGAGAAGGCCGTTTGCCTAGCGTAGCAGGTTGTGGAAAACAGTATCGCTCCACACAGAAAGCAAGCATTTGAACGTCCACATGTGAGCCATCTACTCACGTGCTTATCTGTTTGTTAGAGTGTTAACAAGAGCTGTGGGTGGTAGTTTGCAGAAATGAGCTAAAGAGGGCCACAGCTTCAACTCACTTACACAAGTCACTGGTGGGACTGCTGAGGCCACCTCCTTTTTATTAGTTCTCGCCAGTTGTTTCCCACTCACTGTTTGAGTATCTGTAGAATTTTTAGAAAGTTACAAGTCAAATCCCTCAACTTGCTCTCAGGGTAAGAGTTAGGGGAGAGTTTTGTATTTTGATTAGCATGTTCAACTTGTTAGCATCCCTTAGAATTTGATAAATTACCTTGGTTTTATATTCTTGGAACGAAAGAATGTACTCATTCTTTTCTTTTTTTTGTACCCCCCTGTGGACATGAATTTATTAGAGGAGCCAGGTCAGAGTGGGTACAAGTTGCAGGTTGAGAGGAAGGGGCAGGGGGCATGGGCAGCCCTGCCAGCCTGAAGCCAAGAAGACAGGAGGCCGGAGCGGGCACAGCCAGTAGAGCACTGAGTCAGCAGGCGAGCAGACAGGCTGTTCTTCACCCTCCAAGTGTCAGGGCCAACGGCAGAGCAGCAGCTTCGAGAGGGTGTGGAGAATG